GGCAGCATCCTTACTTTGAGGGATAGCCTCTTGTCTTGATAGACCTTTGTTGGCCACATCTTCAAGAGCATACTACAGAGAGCAGGGCTCATCTTTCCTAGCCACAATTCTGGGGCTTTGCCTCCCTAGTCATGTTAGTGGTCTGTGTTTTCTTTAACAAAAGAAAAAGACCTTCACTGGCTACCTATTTTCAGTGAAGTTTTTTGACTGACGTAGTTTGCTAAGTTCTTTTTAAGAGAGCAGTTCAATTTTGATGAGGTGACATGGAACAGCTTAAAAAATTGTCCTACTGCTTATGTCTCAGGTTAGATCGTTTCTGCGCACACTCCTGACTTCTCTTATGACTGGGGTACACTCTCAGTCTTTGTTGGTATTTGGACTTTTAAGATGCGCTTTCGTATTCCCCTTAGAAGTTTTGAAAACTTCAGAGCATGTGGACAAGGGAACAGGTGAGATCCACTTTTATTTAAGACTCTCAGGATCCATCTTAGTAAGTCCATTCCCAAGAGATAAACCTTATCTTTCATTTTTCCTTCAGCCTAATCTCTTCAAATTCTTAGGAACTATAATGTTCATAAGGTCAAAACAGTCTGAAGTAACTCTATTTACTTTTCTTGGAGGCCACTACATAAAAAAAAGGGGGGAGAGGGACATCTGTAATGCTTTCAATAATAAAGATAAATTAAAAAAATTCAGCGAATGGAAATTGCTCTTTAACTGGATATGAGTCTCATTTTAAGTGCCACTGTTTATATTCTTTATGTTCTGCCTTTTTAAAAAATGTATTTGTTTCACCTTGTAAAGATTAAGAACATGTTCTAGCTTTTGAATGTGAGAATTGAATTATTAATAGTTTTTAATTAAAAAAATGGTCTCCTCTTTTTTCTCTCCCCAAAGCAGTAAGTACATTCTCACACACTTTGGACCTCACTTGATATAAAGTCAATTGAAAGCTTTTCACTAATTCGGCATTTAAAGCTTTTTATTTTTCTTTGATTTACAACACAGCTGTTTTTAGAATAGAGAAAATGCAAAAACTACATGTAGTCTAATTAGATTGTCTTCTTTTTGTGCTCCCCATGGGTTAGTGGAGGCTACTAATCAAAGCTTGATTTATTTTTTATTTTTTAGATTTAATATATTACATCGAGATGGCTATAGTTGGTTCATTGCTTCCACCATATTGTATAGTAATAATCTACTCATGCCTTTTTGTCCCACACTATGTGATAAATTTATTAAGGGCAGAATTGTGTCATTCTTCATCAAAACTTGCGCACCTCTAGTCTCCTTATGATGTTGGCTGTAGCCACCTTAAGCTGCAAAGACTTATTCATGAGCAGTGAAGCGCCATCACTTCCAGTCATGCTAATGTACTCTGGTTAACCTCACATTCTATGCGGTAATGTAACTTGACTTTTGGCGAAATTGATTCATACCACTTTAAAGAAATACAGTGTTAGGCGATTGAATCCAGGATAAAAGAGGTACTTTGCTCCTTAGGTGATATTCTTGACATTGCTTATACATTGCTCATACTTTTTTTTTTTTTTAATGTAGCTAGCTTTCCTTCCCTTCCTCCTCTGTTTTCTCCGCTTTTCCTCCATTCCTCTTCTTCAAGGCTCCTCTAATATTAACATCTTTACTGGTTTAGCCAGTATTGAAATCTAGAAGCTACTTTTGATTACCTGGTCTATCAAAATACTTTTATTTCATAATTATTTCTTGTAAACAAAATCACACAAAACAAATTTTTAAAAAGGGTGTAGCTTGTGATGGTTAATGGGAAATATGTGTTAGTTACAAGTCGAAATAAAGTAGCTCATATACTGAAAATGAATGAGTATTGCTAAATTCCTTGTAAAATTAATTACATCTACAATGATAAGATTATTGAATCTTTGTAGAAAAACTTTTTTTTATTGTTTGGGGGTAGGGAGTTTTAGTAATGGAAACATTTTTAATTAGTAAGCATCAAATCTTTATTAAGCAGTCATTGTTATTGGTCTTATGATGAGGGGTAATTTAGTAAGCTTAGGGAGAACTGGCCAATTATGGAAAAGTTTTATAATAGGAAAAAACATTTCAGCTACAAAGAAGATGTATAGTTTTCCTTTTTCCATTGTCTAGATGGTTAGAGATGACTGTATTCTTGGAATTTACTTTCAAAATGGGAAGCTATATATTATTTTAATGGATATCTAAGTGTACAGAGAAGGCTGGGAATTAAAGTACATCATGTGTAGCAAAATACAACAAACAAAAAGAGAAACCTACACAATTAAATAAAAAACAATACCTATTTGCCATGATAATAAATTTAAATGACATCCGATAGTAGAATAATCTCAGTTTTTTTTATATCTTGGTGCTGATGGCAAGCTCTGTATATCAGTCTTTTAAACAATGGATTTACAAAATGATCACTTAAATATTTATGGTATATATGTGTATTTAAAAATTAGATATAAAATACAGTCTGTTATATGTGAAAAATAAGGTAGCATGAAACTCTTGCATTCACGTACTGTATATTTAACCACTTGAATTTGAGTTTTGTTAAAGACTAAAGGCAAAATTCACTCTCATTGCCTTAGTATGCAAAAAGTTGAATAAAAATTTGGTGACTCATTTGCAAGAACAAGAAAATTGAACTGTGCACACATTTTATAATTAAGCAGTGATTAGATAGTTAGGTACTAGTGATTACTAGAGCTTTGGGAGTGTGAATTATAAAGAGAGAATGTTAACTGTTTCTATTTCAAAGTTTAGTGTCTACATAGCCAGTGGGTCAAATATCCAAAATGGGTAATCATTGGCATTGTGCTCCAGACGTTAGATCTTAAAAAATAAAAACTGAAAACATTTGGATATGATTAAAGAACAAAGAAACAAGGGGATGGAGAACAACCAATTCAGAAAATATGGAACAGTTGGTTCGCCCTAATTATAGCCATCTTGATTTTCTTTTTTCTTCCCTGTGTATCAATTGGAAGTTCAGTCAAAAATTAACCCTTTGCCTAATTATAGAAGTAAATTCGGTGCAGATTTTCTAAAGTGACTATGCTTTTCCTTAAACTCAGATTTCAAAAGGCAGTTGCAGTTTGTGTTGGCCACAATTCTTTCCTTTGATATAGTTCAGCAGTTTACTTTTCATTTCCTAAGACTGACTTTCTTATATCTACCATCGTCTAAATGAGGATGTGTTGACATAAATGAGAAGATCAAAGATTCAACTAATTAAAGAAGTTTTACATTTGAATTAGTCTGAGTTGTATGGAAATGTGGCTGAATCTAGGCAAATGATGGAACATTATGCATAATGATAATGATTTTGCAGATTGTTTATTGTTGCCAGGCAAGCACCAAAAGAAGGTCTAAGTCCTGACCCTTCCCTTCCTTAAATCTTCTCATAGATAATAAAGGTTATGGAAATTGGGGTCTTTTTGGTTATCCAGGAGAGATGAGTTTATTGAGATGTAGATTACTTTATACTTGATTGCTTGTTTTTCATTCTTTTTCCACTTTTTATCACAAGGTACCCTCATTTATTATGTATTTGTATTATATAAGAAGTTATATGTTTTTTTGTAAACCTTGTAGAAAGGATGACACCCGTTGACTTTACTGACAGGTGTATATTATATGATCTGTTTGGTACCTAACATTTGCTTTTTTGCTTGTTATTTGAGAGCCATTGAACATAGGCACATGAGGAAAAATGAAGAAAAAGAGCCAAAACTTTCAGTGTCAAAGTCCTGTTGAACACCGTAGGGTTTTATATACATTCCAGATTTGATGGCTTTCTCTGTTAACTTTCCTGTACGTTTACTTTTAGTCCTAAAATAATTGTTGCACCTCCAACCCCTGCCCTTCAGACCCCTCAACACAAATGCAGCTGCAGCGTCATAGTGGAAAGATTGTATATGTGCCTGTTGAGCGCATAGGCAGGAATATAAAGGAGCAAGTGCAGTTCAGAAATTATGATTAACATAACTAATGTTGTAAACTCATGAAGGGGGGAAGGCGTGCTGATGATACTGTTATTTTTAATTATGAGCTGTGCTTTATATTATGTCCTAAATCATGCCAGGATCCCCAAAGCTTAACATGTAATTTAGAATAGAGACAACACCTGCATTGCCCTTCATTCCAAACCATTTCTTCCATACTATCTTAACTTTTTATTTCTAAAACAGATTTGATCATGCCCTCAGTCTGTTTAATTCATTTGTCTCCCCATTCCTTATAGCAGGAGCTCTTTACAAGGGGAATACATTGGAATTGCTCAAGGAGCTTCTAAAATGGGCACGTGTCTGAAACCCATCATCAGAACTCTGATTTTTTTGTAGGAGTGGGAAGTGTGTTTGATAAAAACTTTTTTTATTATTTCAGATGCCTCTTTGTGTCATGTTGCAACCAAATTTTCTCAACCTGTCTCAGGCCATTTCCTCCAGTCATCTTCTGCTCTCCTCTAGCCATGCTAAACTTAAGTGCTTTATGAATAGTTTTACTCCACACCTCTATACTTTTGTACATGTTGTTCTTACTCTCCAAAGTACCTTCTTCTCTCCCAGCCCTCCCCTTCTCTCCATTCTGAGTCTTAAATCTGTCAAACAGCTGCTAGTTTTCCTAAATTCTCCTCTGATGACAAATCTTTCCTTACTCCCTCATGTTAAACTAGCCACTCTATATTTTGTCTTTATCATTTGTATTTGATTACTTTTTTCGGTGTCCATCTCTCCAATTAAATTCATGTAATTTATCTTGTTTTGTTTATATTAAATGACTATATGGATTAATAATAAATGAAAAACCTGTTAGGAATTTAAATGTACAGCTTTTTATGAACATTATTTTTAGGGTCATTATTAAATAGAGGTTTGTGATCACCAACACCTAGTTTGATACTGTACATAATTTTATTTTTCATAATATATGGTACCATTATAACATATATCTTTCTTTCTTTTTCTTTTTTTACCCCCTTGTGTCTACAGGCGAAATCTGACAAAACTGTCCCTTATCTTCAGTCACATGCTGGCAGAAATTAAAGCAATCTTTCCCAATGGGCAATTCCAGGGAGATAATTTTCGTATCACGAAAGCGGATGCTGCTGAATTCTGGAGAAAGTTTTTTGGAGACAAGTAAGTAAAAAATTTTATAGTTTGGCTCCATCTTTGAAGAATTACCTAGTCCTTACTCCACTTCCATTTGGTATAGATTTTACTTGGTAGTTTGAGAATGTGCTTGAGTGTTACTGATAAGCGTTTGATTGCTAATTTTTCTGTTTGGCCACCAAAAGTATATTTCAATAACTGAATAGTTTTATGTTATTATATCATAAATATAAGTTATATAGCATTTACTTTATGATCATTCATTGAGTTAGTTTGCTTTAAGGAGCAGGCATATGTGAGACAGAGTTTCTGTACATGAGATGCTCATAACTTATAATTTAGTAAAAATACAAGACACATGTACGAAATGAGGCAAAAAGAGATAGGTACTTTAAAGATGGCCTAAATAAATTGCTCTGACAGTTCAGAGGGGAACGGTTGCTTCAGAATCTCAGGAATCGAGGACTGCTTCTTAACAGAGTTAGTTGTAAGCTGAGTTAAGATCTGAAATTAAGGTGGGAGGAGGCCTTAGAGCCCTGATTCAGGCTTTCTTTGTATCATTTCACAGAAAGTATACATGTGCAAACAAGGTATAGAAATGAGGATGACATGAGCACAAAGTTTCATTATTTCACAAAATGGCCAAAGATGTTTTCCTTTAGGTACTTCCTGTCCTGAATCAGGTGAGCTTGGTAAATAATAGGAGTTGTATGTTTGAAGCCAGCATAACTTAAAACTTACAAAACTTAAAAAAAAAGAAAGCATTGTTGGGAAGCTCTGAGGATGATCAGGAACCGGGCATCAGGAGGCAAATGGTTTCTTCCGTAACCTTGAGAGAGTCCCTTTGATGAGAGTGCTTCAGAACATCCTTGAACGCAGGCGGAACCCCCGCTGGGTATTCAGGAGGAGGAGAGATTGCTTACACATGGATTATTGTTTCATCCTGTAGTTAAGTCTATTTTTATACATTAACTGGTGAAATGAAACATAAAATGTGGATACATGCTTTTGGTCTTAGTCTTCTGCTGCTGGTGAATTTTGTTGTTTTTTCTTTAGGAAGTGCTATGTTTATCTATAGCTACTACCATGATTAGAGTACACTTACATAAAGCAATATACATTTTATTACATACATAATTGGGGGCTTTGAAAATGTGAAAGCCTTTCCCCACTTCTTAAATAAAATATATTCTGCATTAATTTTAGGCACTAAAGGAGGAAATGCCATTATTGCCATTAATAGGGACATTCTGTATTCCAGAAATCTAGCTATTTGCAGTGCCCCGATACCCAGTCACAAATGAGGAATTAAAAAAAAGAAAAGGTTCATCCTCATCTGAATTAGAATGACAGCCAAGAATGTATTAATTAAATATTTGTGAATACTAGAAAGGAGAGGAGGGTATTGCTGAGTTCTGGGAGAAAGAACTTAGAGGATTTCTGGAAGCCACAGTTCATATATTAACACTATGAACCTAATGTAAACAGTTGGTTACCTTCAAAATAAACTTTATCTTAATATTGTAAGAAAATCTATAGGACAAATTGTGGTATTTCTTCCTGAAAACTGAGTCATAAAATTACTTGTCAAAAGGTCAGTAAAAAATGGAAAGATTGCTCACACATTTTTTTGAGAGGAGTTTGTTTTGCTGGCACCTCAAGCCACAGAGAATTATGCATTTGAGACATCTTTATGTCCTTGTATTTATGGCCATAGATGTCAAGCAGCTGAAGTTTCTGTTCAGTTGCTACTCGAGTGAAATCAGTACTAAATCAGTGGGATTCTTGAAGTACTGATTGAATCCTCTCCCTGCCTCCCAAATCCTTGTACTTAGTTGTCCTGTCTTCACGTACTTAAGAAAGCTGCTTCGTTTTTCTTTAACATTTTCACTCTGCGTGAGAGCCAAATTTAAAACTCCTCCTGGAGTTCAGACATACTTCTGCAGTCATCAAAATTAATGATTCTTTTAATAGATCATTGGAGAAACCATCTTTATATTCTCTGTGGGTTTTCAGCTTATTGTCCCACAGTATTTTATTGAAAGAGTGAACAAATAAATGAATGATACAGCCTTTCAAAAGGTTGAATTCTTTTATCTTCCTTATGCTCTAATACTATTTGGTGTTTTCACATAACTTAGTTCTTATACAGAAGCATTCCTGTCATTTATCGTTTATCTAGCTTCCCATGGAGGTCACGTGAGAATACTTTTATTTGACCTAACCAGCACCTTTGAACTTAAAGCAGTTTTTTTGCCAAAAAACAGAACCATTGAGGGGTTAGTTCTAAAAACAAACAGACTGCGATTTTTATAAAGCAGCTTTTAGCTTAAGGAAGTTTTATTGTGACCCCCCCCCCCAAAAAAAAAGGAACTATCAAGAAAAATAAAATATTAATATTGAATTAAAATTGAGAAAAAGCTATTTTTCAAAGGACACTGTGAAATCCCTAAAGGCAATTTTAGGATTCAGACCTTATAAAAACAGGCAGCAGACATAAAATCTTTAGGTGTCATATGCCTAATGCTTAATTTCTCTGCTTCTCAACCTTTGTGAAGGCATGTCAGGGCCAGGTCTGTGCTCGGGGCCCAAGCTCAGAGTGAAGAGACAACACCTGCAGGGAGTCCTGAGGGAATCAGTAACACATATTGTGTCAGAGTAAACTAGATTTGGTAGACATATCTATGCAAATTTATTGAACGTTCTGTTGACCAGGAGATAGTAGAAATATGTAGGAATTTTTGTACTGTGGATCAGTAATTTGTAATCTAGAAACTAAGCATGAGGCTCAAGAAACGTGTTACTAGCCATTAAAGAAAAGCCACATTAATGTATTAGAGTCTGGGTGACAGTCACTTTTCTGATCAGGTCACATAGCAGTTACTGGCCTACTCACCCTAAGTACTTCTTGACATCGAGGAGATTTAGACATGCATTTCCAACCAAATTATAATTCAATAAAAACCTTGGATTCTAACTCCTGAATCTTCTTATATGTCCTCTCTTCCCCATCTTGGCTTCAAGTTCTGTTCAGTTTCAAGTTCAGATTCTTTCCTGGCTTTCTGATGAGTCTCTCTATCTTCAGTAACAACCAGTGACCTCTCTGAAAAGAACTGATCATTCTGTTTTTTTTTTTTGGCCTGAAGTGCTTCTGTGAATCCTTACTGATTCTGGGTTAAAATCTAAAATCTCATCAACAAGACAAGCTTTAGGAACCGTTTTTCCCCCAGCTTTTTGTACTCAGCTCATCCTCAAAGAAACAAACAATTCAGCACTCTGTACTTGTTTCCTAATGTGCCCTCCTCCCCCCTCCACTCTCCCCCCCACCTGATTGTCTTTGTTTCTCTTTATTGCATCCACTGCATGGGAAGCCAGTTTCCCATGCCCTACCCAGTGTTGCCACTTGGGAAGCTTTCCTTGATTACCGTAACCTAGGTGGACACCCCTGTTCTATGCTTCCAGATACCTGTGCTCACAGCTGTCCTACTGGACCACAGTGAACTGCTGATGTGTTCCTATTTCCCAGTAGACTAGGAGGATTCCTTGAAGGTGGGGACCATGCCTCACTGATTTTTATTTCTCACAGCCTGAGCCTGGTATGTGTAGGCACCAATAAATGTTAACAGACTATATGAATAATTGAATGGGTGGGTGGATGGGTGATGTCTGTTTCTGCTCAGAATTTTCAATGAGTTTATTATCTACAAATTGATTTTTTTTTTTTTTTATCATCCGTTCCTATAGTTCTACTCTCTGGAATGCCTCTTTCCCTCTTTTTGCTTTTTTACCGTCCCAAAATTTTGAGACCCTTCTTCAGATCTAGTTCATAAATCCCCGTTTCTTAGTTCTCAATAATATTCACCCTCTTACACATTCAACTTTAATTATTCCATGCGTTGTGTTCCTGCTCTGTTTTTAAATACATTTATATTCTTGAGTGTATGTTTACTCTATGGACCTTTCCACTTGACTGTGAAGCTTCTTGTTGATTTTTTTAACCAAAAATTAGTGGAAACAAATTTATTAGAGTTTATGTTGAGTTCTGTGTTCATTGCTTTCATACAAGCTAGCTCTATTTTCAATATACTGTATAATCATTCTCCAAGTGGTTATTGAATGAGTCCTTTGGGTATTGTACATATAGCAGTAATTGCTGATTGAGTTCATGGCATATTTTCCCAGCATTTAAGTTCTCTCTCATTTGTGTCCTGTACTGGATTATTCCTGACACATTAGCAGTTGCAGGTTTCTGTGTCCTTACTCATACTGCTTTTTCTGTGTGAAGATTTTTATAATCTCTGGCATCAAAGTTATTACTAATCTTTCACTGTTTATGCCACTTATGATTGTTTCCTTATTGCTCTTACTAGATCTCTTCTTAAACTCCTCTAAGCTCTCGCTTAGCCCCTGACATCAATTATTTTAGTTCTTTTGTTAAGATATTTGTTTAGTTATCTTATTTCCCGTTAGACTATAAGCTCCATAAAAATCACACTTATTTATTCATCTTTGCATTTCCTGAAGTAGCTCAACACAGTGTCTCGTGTTTAGACTTTCAGGAACTGTTGTTCATCTGATTGAAATGAGTTGAGGAGTAGAGGAATGTGTGTGATCGTGTGCAGGTGTGAGATAGAGATGGAGAGCTTGTTTACTGGATATATTAGGAGGCAGCATGCCTAGAGGTCATCGGTGTTCAGGCTCTGACTGCAACGTTTACTAGCGTTGTGACTAGGGGCAGACTACTTGGTTTCCCCATGCATCAGTTTCTTTCTTATAAAATGTGGATGACAATAACAATACCTGCTATCTATGGTGGCTCTGAAGGTTAAAAGAGCAAAAACCTACCTACAGTCGCTGGCAAAAATGAACCAATTTAAAACTTTAATCCTACTCAAAGTGAGTATATTTATTAATTATTAATACCTCAAATAATATAGTTAATATTCAACTTTGTGTAATGGAGGTTCTATAGTCCCTAGAAGTCTGAAAGCCAAAGCCAAAATAAATAAATAAAAGTTTTCTAAAAT